CAGAGTGGGGGGGGGGGGGGGGAGAAAACAAACAAAAAAAGGCACTTCAAAAAAGATAAAGCCCCAAACAAAAAGCCTCGCCACCCAGGCACCGCAGCCAGGCTCAGGCTCGGAGATGCGCACACAGAGGCATCACAGCATCTTCCTTTCATCTGCACGGGGATGACAGACTTTAAAAGGCCAATTTATAAAAATGAAGCCTAGAGGAGAGACATCTGGCAGGTCTGAGGAGGCGGTGGGGAGGATTACTAACCCTGCGCTGTGTCTCCAGCCACCCCTGCCCGGAACAGGTCTGTGAGCTCCCGGCCAGGACCCCACGGCAGAGGCTGGGAGCAGGCAGGGTGGCTGGGGGCAGCCCCCCAGGACTGCAGAGCCATCGCAGCCCCGGCACCCACCCGGCACGTACGCATTCACCTGATTTCAGCGGGAAGCAGGCTCCCAATTATCTCTGTAGATTTACCTTTAATCTTGGTGCCTCCGCTCCCCTCCATACCAACATCACTGCCCCACTTCTCGAAATAACTTATCATGCCACAGACAGCATCTCCGGGCAGAGCGGTGGAAGCGAAGACAAAAATAAGCTCAAGATGAAAATAAGCAGCAAATCTGCGATTGCTTTTTTGGAAAGCAAGGGCCATCCGCTTCCAGTCCAGCTTACCGAGGGTTGCAGCATGCTCCCGGGCACCTTTCGAAGGAGACAGATCCCTTTGGAGGTGCTATCTGCCGACTCCAGAACTGGCTCAGGGGCCACAGCCTCGAGTCCCTGGCCTGGGTTACACAAGAGGACACACAGATGAATACATAAGATGAGGAGGTTTGTTGCCAAAGGGAAGCCACAGAGTGGTAACCAAGACATCAGGCTGGTGATGGGCTCCTAACCCACCTGCACGAGTCCCCAGACACCTCCCAGGGCAGAGCTGTGCCCTGCTGCTGCTGCTGCTGTCACTTGGGAGAGCAAGTCAAGGTTTAAGAAGGAAGAAAAAAAAAAAAACCAAACCAAAAAAACCCCAGGATTTCTGGGGATCGGCCAAGTGGAAACCCAGGTTGCAATCGCATGCGAGAGCCAGCCGCTGGCAGCGATGTTATGACAGCCTCCCCCTGCACCGGGGACGCGTGTCGGCACACACAAGTAGAACGATCTGAAAGTTGAAGTACGCTACTGACCTCAAGAAATGAAATTTAAACTGTCAGCAGAAGTGCAAGAGACCATGGGGGGAAAAAAAAAAGTCTCCAGTGAAGCAGGAGTCGGGGAGCAACGACCAAGCCACTGGGATTTGCTGAACCAGAGACGTGGGGAGGAACCAACATCTAATGAGGTGTTAATAACCTGAACACGCAACGCTGGTCATGGGATAGCCAGAACAGCCAGCCCAGCACTTGCCCCGAGGGCTTTATTTAAGGAAACAACCCTAATAAAGAGATGTTTCCCTTGCGCCCAGCACAGCGCAGCCAGGCTGGGCCAAAGCAATCTAAAATTCAACGGGAAAAAAAATACTGTCTGGTGAAGGTTGTGAGAGGCAAGCCTGCATCCCTCCATCTCTGCCTGCACAGGAGAGCTCCCGGGGTCAAGCGTGTGCCTGGCTGGGAGCAGGGAAGGGTAGGGGAGGAAGAGCCTGCATGGAAAGGTGTGCAGCAAAGCCCTGGCTCACCGGGAGGGAGGTCCCCAGCTTGGTCCCAGCTGCCCCAGTCCAGCAAGCTGCTCGGTTTCCAGCAAGATCGATGCCACTCAAAGCCCCGGCTGGCAATCCCACGGGAACGGCGTGAGGAAACCCAGGCACCTGCTCCCCCAGAAAAGTGCCTGACCTCAGCGTTCTGGGCCAGGGGAGATCCCCAAGTCACGAGCAAGTCGACGCCTCCCTGGCCCCCCCAGCAGCAGGCTGCGAGGTGATGCTCCTGGCAGGCAGGCAGGTCCTGGCAGGCAGGCAGCCCTTCTGGCAGCTCGCGAGGGAGCCTGACGCCTGCCCGCACGGCCCCGAGGCACTGCCTGCCCCAGGCAGACGGGGAAAACAGCTAAAACTGAGATGGGGACCGCCCTTGGGGACGGTGGGGCAGAGGGAGCAGCATGCGGGGCTCAGAGCTGATGGCAGAAGGGAAGCAAGCACATCATCTTTGCTCTTACTGTGCAAGCCCAAAGGAATGTGGGACATATCAGCCACAGAGCTGACATCCCCCCTTCCACAGCAGACACCTGAAGCATGCAAAGACCAAGGTCTCCTCACAGGGGCTTCCTTTGCCACCTCGAGGAGCTGGGAAGGGTCCCAGCCCTCACGGCCCATCAGAGCTTTAACCAGACGCAGAGGCTGAGCTTAGGAAGAGAAAGCCGTAGGGCAAAAAAGCAAAAGTTATCTGCCCGTGTGTGTTACACATCCCTGCAGACCCACTTACCATCCCCACCACAGCCCTGCGGTGGGAGAAGT